ATTTTCAACCCGTCAAAATGACGGACGGCCTTAAATTTTCCCCGTCCACTCTTAAAAAAAAAAATCCGTCAATGATAGAAAATTGTCGGTTAATGTAACCTCTTCAGAAACAGAAATATAAAAGATGTAAATGTTTATACAGTCTTGTTTAACTTAGATTTCGTTACAAAAGGCAGGCTTTTTTTTATCAGAAATCCCCCCTCCTCCTCCCGAGTCCTCACAAATAAAATATGAAATGTCGGGTTTGCTTCGGGCTCGGGCCTGCAAATCAAGCTAAGTGATCGGGCTCGGGCCAGGTCGGGCTTAAATACCCTCGGGCCAGTTCGGGTCGGGCTCGATTTTTTAGGACCGATCTTACCTCTATAACGCCCACGGCCAGTCTCGACGTAAGGCCCTCGAGCTAGCCCTAGTAGGCAGACGAGAACAAGTCAGGATACAGGATACAGATCACGAGTCTCAGACTCTACAGTAATCCCTCTTTTGTTTATCGCGGGGGTTACGTTCCAAAAAGAACCAGTGATAAGTAAAATCCGTGAAGAAGTATTATTTGTTTTATTCAGTTATTATATAATACTTAACTATATATACAATGAAATCAAAGACCAAAACCTGTTTTCAGGCCCAATTACAAAAAAACTAACGTTTTCAACAAATAACTAATAGTTTTTGGAAATACTGTACTGTCGACACGCAGCGCCGCCGAAGCGTTCTGATTTAAAGGGTTAAAAGCATAAAAAAAAAAACTGCACTAAAAAATCTGTGAAACAACGAAGCCGCGGAAATTGAACCGCGTTAGAGCGAGGGATCACTGTATATCTATATATATTGCACTTACATATATGTATGCACACACACACATACACACACACACACACACATATATACATTTTTTTTAATGTTTGAAAAAATCCTCTATGTATTGAACCCGCGATAAACGAACCGTGAAGTAGCGAGGGATCACTGTATTTGGTTTCTTTTGTTGAAGTGCTTTTCACGCAAATATCGTGTGTAATTAGGACTTTTGGTATATATATATATATATATATATATATATATATTTGCACTGTGTGTGTTTTGAATCCATCTAACAGTGAGTTTTCCCATCCAGTAATTCATTAAAATTCGTATGGCTCTTGAGGGTCCATTGTACAAACTAAAATGGCCCAGAACAAGACAAAGGTTCCAAATCTATCTTTAGCTGCCAGCTATAGCCACTAATTATGTTTCACAAGCACTTTCCAGCGGTGGTTTACTTATTTTTCCACTTCGCAGACAGTTAACGTACCATAAAAACAAACACATTTGATTTCAAACACAATATCAAAGTGGCTGTTCTATTGACATTTGAAGTGTGACAGTTATGGAAGAAGAAATATTTTCTTGAAAGTTCTTGTTATTGTGTATATTTTTGACGCGGTTGACTTCTTTTTAATCTTGCATAACTCTTGACGTTAAAATGTTTCAAAGGACCGCAGAGTTAAGAGTTGTTCTCGATTGATTCTTTGAATGGACTAAATATTCCAAGTTCCTGACTTCATTTGACATTTGAATGACGATTAATGAACAAAATGAAATGCATTTCTGCCCCATGGCAATCACGTTTAATCGCTGCTTTATTTTTTGAATGCATTGGTATTCAAGTTCCACAGGTGTGACAGTTAAGAATATTCAAATGTGACTTGCCTGTGCACTAAGTGGATGGTTACGAAATGGCGACTGTTCGACTTTTGAATAGCCATTCATCCATTTTCTATCGTTGGTGGCTGATCACGACAGAATGACGCTAGCAATTGAGAGTTTTCAGTGACCCCAACACTCATGTTTTGGGAATGTGGGCGGACGCCCGAGCAAAGCATGTCAAGAACTTGCAATCTTGACACAGGAAGGCGGGAACCGAAATCCCAAATATGAGGCAGACACACTCAGCACTAGGTCACCGTGCTGCCTGGCTTTGGAAAAGATGAACTGTTTTGAATTTGAAATGATGTTGGACCTTGGAGGGTTCGCTCGATTTTTCTTTCCACTCAAGTGGCGACCATGTTACAAAATACTGATTGCAAAGAACCGAATCAAAACAGTTCCTAGAAGAAAATCGAAAGCCACATTTGGCCAAGCCCCAGCCACTGCCACATGTTCTTCGGCTGAAGCCAACAACATGGGCCATGTGTTAGCGCAGAGCAGGGACTCATCCGTCACTGACCACCTCGAGGAACATTATCCGCGAGGACATAAACATATCACCCCCTCGCCGACGCCATGAAATGTTCTCGTGTCAGTTCTTCTAACTGTTGCTAATCTGGGACTCTGACCATGGTGGCTCACGGCGGACTCGTGAGTGTGCAGCCTCAGTATCAGCTTACATGTAAACACAAGTGCACGACTGGTCGGGCAACCGAACAAATTTCATTAGAGCTGCGGACTGACAGCGAAGGGGATGCTCAGCATTTCACATCATTTGGTCAAGTCGTGTATGTGTGTGACAACTTGAGCTTCAAGAAGCGCCATGCCATCTCATTGCTGCTTTACGAGCCTCGCCTATCGAAATCATTTCATCTTTTCCCAGAGAGATCCCCAACTGAGATAAGACAAGACGCCCTATTAAAACCCTCAGCGTGGGGCTGTTAAGTTGCTTTTCACCACTTATCCACGGAGCCGGATCTCACCTTTCTCGGGTGACACGCTGCACTACCTTGACGCCTCGGAGCACACAGGTCCGACCGAGCCACGCCCGGCAATACTGGCGCAGGTCATCCCGGTCCAGCAGGTGCAGCTGCACCACGCTGAACATCCCAAAGCTGTCCTGGACCAGCACACAAAGCCTGGAAACAACAAGCATCACACGTGCCGTGTTCAGTCATTACGTTAAATAAGTCAAAACAAAGATGTCAGAATGATTTTTAAATAAAGAGAATTAAATTGTAGTATTTCATGAGAAATGCTCACATAATTATACCAAAACATCCAAATAAGTAGGGAAAAGAATCAACACAAATGAATAAAGTCTTGATATTCGAAGAAATATATTGTAATAATATGCAAGCAAATTATGACATCGAAGTTCTATTACATCAAAAGTCACAATACGCGAAAGAGAAAAAAAATCCAATATGTGAACCAAGTCTGTAATATCACACAAATAAAAATAGTAGTACAGTGGGGATAAGAATGATATAAAACACCAAAAACTATTTAAAAAAAAAACAGTAATCGACATTAAAACTGAGAGAAAATGGGAGGAACAGAAAGCAAAATAAAATCTGCTAATATACGACTCTGCAGGCGCTGAACCGCGAATATGCAAGGATCTCCTGTATAGGAACACTATGACTTTATTTGCATCATCTTCCAGCTTTTATATCATGATTATTAAAAAAAAAAACATTAGAACTCACACAAAATGATATTTTGAAAAAAGTGAATAAAGTTGCATTGTTCACTGCATTGACAAGAAAAAAATGATGTAGTAATGTACGTAAAGTCATATCACACGAAGAAAGTTTCATTTAAGTAACAAAACATAATACAGGCACGTACGAAAAAATATGTGAATCAAGTGATCATATTACACCTCATGTCAGATGAGGGGAAAAAATGCATACGAACTTGCACTTTTTGAGGAATAGTTATAATACGAGAATTATGTCGCAAGTTCATAAAATGCTGACTATCGTGGCACAATTACAACTTTTTCCTCTGGGTGTCGGAGTTCATGTAATACAAATGTTAAAAATATTGCTCTCTGCCTTCGAGGCTTTTTATCAACATTCCACTGAAAGGCTCATACTTTCCAATGTCAACTTAAAAGTTTGAGCATGTGCAGACGTCCTAAGAGCACCCTTATTATGCAGCGATTCCTCGCAGAGTGCTAAACCAGGTTCCATTCTGAGAATCACAAGCCACAAATAAAATAAAATAAAATAAATTCAAGTTAGCAGCAACGATGCAAAGCAAGAGGTGTCTCGAGTGTTTGTGATGGCGGTGGCTGGTTTGACAGGCTGCTGCTGACAGAAAGGACCTTTGCCCTAAAAACACACAGGCCTAAGTGCGGCGCAATTCACGGGCTGGAACCGCGACAGGCCATCGGTATCTATCTCTGGCAGTCAAGTCCAGACACATGCTCACCGCACCAGCTCGCAGGAGTAAACAGTGGAGGTTAAATCCCCCGCTGAGACAAGTGAGGGAATGGGAGTAGGCGGGAGAAGAGCGCAGGGAAAAAAAGGGAGGGAGGGCCATCAGAGAGCCCGTCATGTATGTGCATGCTTGCGGGAAAAAAAAAAAAAAATTCCAAGCACTGGGAAAGTTTGGAGATGGTTTTCAACCACCTGACTGGGACTATAAGCGTGCACGTTGATCAACTTGAGGTTGGTCCTGTGTTTGTTCATCTCGAAATAGATGTCAAAACAACATTCTCAGCATGGGCTCGTCATGCTGGACACCAGCGTACCAAACGAGGTTGTTCCCAATTGTTTGCATTCATCCAACACGCAAATTCATCTTCGAAAAAACAAAACCAAAAAAAAAAAAAAAGGGAACCACATATGGATTGACTTGTGGCTCATCGCAGAGTGAACAGAGCCCACCCAGTCTGGGACTCATTTTCAGAAATGTGTCACCAACAGAACACGGTTCATACCACAAAGTGTCAAGCGTCAGGATCATTTCTGATCATTCCAAAACATAAAAATGCTCACATTTTACACGTCAGATGCTGATAAATGATTCAAGTAGTGATGAGCGAATGTTTTGTTGTGGTCAAAAGAAAAGGAACATTTTGTTCCTCGTAAAACAATTGCTGAGCTAATGCTTCGAGGAAACGTATTCCAGAAAATTGACTAAGTGCTTGTACACAAATAGTTAGGACTGCAGTGGCTGGCCAACCATTAAAATTAAACAGCCGAGTAAATCCATTGTGATCGGCCTATTTCTGAAAATAAAGAAAACATTCTGTACTTGAACCACGTACTTATTCAATAGCGGGGTTCATTCAAACTAGGGATGGGCCAGTACAGGTACCAGGTATCGGTATGGGGCCGATACCAGCCTCATTTTCAGCTAGCGGGTCCTTATGGAGGATGTCGATACCGGCCAGTCATAGTAAAGGCCCGCCCAAAATCAGGCATTTAGTAAGACCTGCTCCGCAGTAGTTGGCGTCACAATTGATGAGAATTTGACCTCTACATTTGTGGCACTTTTGCGGTTGCGCTTTGAATTGTACGCCTTGAATGGCATAAAAATTAACAGGGCTCAGATGAATTCATGTCATTGTTAATGCAAGATTATATTAGAAACAGAAGTTGAAACAACATGTTCTTTTTTATTTTCTCTAAATAATGCTCCCAAAGAAATGTCAACAGTATATGCCGCTCGCTGTTGGAGCCAAATGTGGTCAAAACAAATATTCAGATTTTGCTCTTGCAGCAGCTTGTCTCAACTTGAGCCCCCCCCCACCCCCCATAAAGAAAAGTGAAATATCTGATCTAGCACTTGACAGATAACAAATAGGGTGGTTGTACCAGCTTGACACACACAAGAACCCTCCTCCCTGTGGCCGTTCACCCCCCCCCCCCGCCACCCCACCCCACTTCCTCATAGCGAGACCCCTCACTCTTTCAGTCACAGGCTGTTTTGAGGAATTTGTTATTGTGCGCAAGCACAGAATTCGTAGCAGAACAACTTTGCTTCCAGGAACTACGATCCACTTAGTCTGCGTGCGCACACTGAAACACACACACACACACACACACACACACACACACACACACACACACACGCACACACACATGCACGCACAGAGTCCAAGAAAGCACATGCACTTCACTTGGCAACGTGCTAAGTCACTGACCCACGCATAAAGAATACAGCAGAGGCCTCACTTGTGTGTGTGTGTGTGTGTGTGTGTGTGTGGGGGGGGGAGGCAGGCGGGAATCCTTTCTGCGCGGTGTCCACCAATCGGTGCAAGGAGGCTGATAAACATGGCTGAAACAGGATCCGCGCAGCACATTGTGTTCCTTCACGGCCGCAGAAAATAAAGACTCTTCTCACTTCCTGCAAACAGTTAATCTTCTTGTTTATTCTACTCCAAATTTACAGGAACTCAACATCTTCTCCAGGCATAAATATCGCCCTCATCGTGCCTCTCCTGGGTGTGTTAACAACAAAAGTATCAAAACATGGTGAGCGCAGAAGTGAGTCATTGAGGCTAGGGAGCCGACATGAGAGGCACAAAGTGTCCTTGTCGTCACCCAGAGCAGGACCACCAGGATGCTGGTTAAACAACCCCCCCACCCCCCAGCCCCCCCTTCACCAGCATCCTGGAAAACTACTCAGGCAAACACAATGAACCATGAAATTATTTGCACACTATCTATTGATGCGCGTCATTATTTGGTGACATGCTCAATAAGACTAACTATTCTTGCTGCTGTGCCCATTCACATCTGCATCAATTCTACAGCTTAGTAGAGCCGCAACTATTGAATACGTTATTACCTTTTTACGCTGCTTCTTTGGTACTCATTCATGTACAGTTTGATATATAGTCGACCCCGGCTATTAGTGGCAATCAAGGCAGGGCCGACCTGCCACTAGTGAAAATCTGCGTCTTCCACAACAAAAAAGAAATAGAATAAAACAAACAATCAAAAAAAAACAAACAAACATATTTGAAACTATTTTCTTTAAAATTTTAAACAAAAAAAAACAATCAGCGAATATAAGAACCTCAACCACTTTCATAAAGATTTATTGACATTTGGACTTACTTCGCAGCATGAAATGGTGCTAGCTATTGCAGCTGTTCACATGCATGAGCATGATTAGTTTTGTTTAGCCACAACTGCTTGAATAGAGTCTAGACCAGGGGTGCCCATTACGTCGATCGCGATCGACCAGTAGATCAAGGACTGGTCCCAAGTGGATCCGTGGGGTGTAGAGGGAAAAAAAACAAACATGCATGTTAGTAATATATTTTTTTGTGTTAATGCACACTGCACCCTAATCATTCTATCAGTCTCACTTCCACAAAAAGTATTTATAAAAGAAAAGAAAATAAAGCAGGTCATCTTTAACCTACAGTGGCGTGTGACTGCGTCACCGGAAGTTGTTAGCGCGCAGCAGTCTGCAGTTGGAGCTTGTGATCAGAGTTGTTACGCTATATCTTTTATCATTATCATTATTCTCATTCAGAGTTTGTTTTGGACAATTCACCAAGGGGACGGGCAAAAAATGGGAATCTGGAGGACCAAGAGAAGCATTTTAAAACGGTATGCGTGAGCTACGATCGTTAACAGGCTGCCTACGTGCGTCGCATGCCTCAGCGTCAGGCTATTGCTCATCATGGCATGCGTGTGTACCTGCGTGCGTGCGTGCGCGGTAACGGGTCGATCACGGGAGGTTGTTTGATCGAAAAGTAGATCTTCGGTCCAAAAAGTTTGGGCACCCCTGGTCTAGACCAAGGGTGTCCAACCAGTCCATCACGATTGACCAGTAGCCCGCGGGCTGGTCCCAAGATGATCGCGAGGGGTGCCAGTCTGCAGTTGGAGCTTGTGATCAGAGTTGAGATGTTTTCCAATTCTCCTCGTTGCAACATACCTGATCCAAGGGTGTCCAACCAGTCCATCACGATTGACCAGTAGCCCGCGGGCTGGTCCCAAGATGATCGCGAGGGGTGTAGGGGAAAATGAGAGGGCAGCTACCCTGCATGTTTTCCAATTCTCCTCGTTGCAACATACCTGATTCAAATTAACTGGTTCAATGTCAGGCTTCTGCAGGATGATCTGATCATTAGAATCAGGTGTGTTGCAACAGGGAGACATGGAAA